ATTTGTTAAATGTTCAATATAAATTATATTTTTTATTAAAAAATTAATTTGAAAGCGTAGACCGCACACGAGAGTCAAAAATTAGAACATACAACATAGTTCATAAATTTGGCTGTCAGTCGAAAATCGATTTCACGTTCGCATGACGAAAATTCATGCATACTCTACATTCTAGCAAATTATTTTAAATATATAAAAGAAATTTTTTCTAACAGACACATAAATATGTTACCTTCTCTTTTTGCTTCTTGATTGGACTAGGCCGTCTATCTATATGTTCTATATCATCAGGAAGCATTTCAGGTTCATAACTCATAGTATGCCGTTTGCTTGGTTCGGAACCATACGTTTCAATCGGTTTAGGCCCACCTAATGCTGTACAAGGCAGTCACACTACTTCAACATCTTAGTATAACATAGATATAAGATATGATTATAAAAAGGCACTTGTGGTTTATAGTGGACATTCTGAAAATCTTTTGCGGAGAGTAAAATAACAATTTATAAAATCAATCAAGAAAAATACTATTCTAATAATGTAACAAAAATTCATGCTTGTGCAAGCTTATCCTAATGAAAAATTTTTAATTCAGATATACTTCCGAACATGATATGATAAATATGACATGATATTAAAATTGTAGCAATTTAAATCTCTAACCAAACCATCATTACCCGTGAATAGTAAAAATTTTATTTACCATCCATGCTTCTGGATGTAAGTCGTCGGCCACTCAAAGACCTCTCAAATTGCGGAGGTTGCCTATCGATAGGAGTCTTTTTCGTTTCATAATGAGTTCTTCCAGAATATCGGAAACGAGACCCTAGATGTGGAATTATTCCTACCTTCTTCACAGGCTCTGGACTCATAAGTCTATTAAAAAAATTTCTCACTTAAGGGGTATCATAAAGAAAAAAGAAATTATAAACTAATTGTAACTATTATTGTTTACCTGAAGAAAGTATGATGCTCCACGCATACTTTCCATAATTTTTTCGCCGCTCTATGATTCGCCAATTTGAATCCAATTGTAGATTCAAATTGTTCAAAATCGCCTGGTCTGATTTTAATGTAAAAATTATGTCTCTTGTAAGATATTTTTAATATCTTTGGCCAGGCAAATCTATTAATCCTCAAACGATCTCTATAAACAAGAAGGCCCGAGGCGCATACACCCAACATTATATCAACACCTTCCGAGTCTTTCGCGGGATGAAGATCTACACCATACATAGCTAACTTTTTCGCATTCTCGAGATAATGTAATTCTGCTTCAGCGGGCGTCTGACCCCTAAAAAAATGAAAAAAAAAAAAAAAATAGAAAAAAAAAAGAAAAGTTTTATTATTTGACTGAACAATTAATTAATTCATTTTTCTTTTTTTTCTTCATAAAAAAGATAACAATTATATAAAAATTATAAAACTAACTTAATGCGTTTTATGAAGATCCATCACTTTCTCAATTAATTCGGGCGTTTGGTTGGGGGCAAATTTAAAATCTTTTAAATATGTCCTTCCATGTTCCTCAGGATCGTAATCTCCGACTTCTGATTGAACCAGATAGGAGCCTAGAAGAGCATGTGTCACAAAGGAACAAAGTAAACGCCCTGTAATAATATCGTTTCTGATCTGAAGGCATAGTTGATAACGAGTGATGTCTTCTTGCAATTGAGCTGGATCCGGTGGGTAGAATTTTACTTCAAAATTGAATTTCCATTGTTCAGCTAAAAACATATTAATTTTAGCAACAGATCCTAGTACATATTGTTGTATTTGTCATTATCAAAACGGAGATTTTGCTATGGTTTCTATACTTTTTACAAATTTCGTAATTCTCTTATGAAGATCCAACCAATTGCGCGGATCATGTCTGTCTTCGTAAATAAGACCAAAATAATCTTTCTCCAGTAGATTCATGCTTTGACAAATCATATCGAGAAGTTCTTGACCTTTTGCCTTCCTCTGTAACCCAATTTTTAACATCAATAGACATGCACAAAATAAAATATATTTTAATTGGCACACTTAGTGATTCTTCTTATAGATGACTCACATCAATGTAAAAATCCTTTGTTGTGCCGTCGAGAAGAAGAACTTTAGCAAGAGCCATCTTTCCTCTGCTAACTGGGCTTTTTGTGAGCGTATTTGTCCCAGTCTCACCCGTGTCAGTCCCATTCTCCGCCGTTGTCTCCACATTGTGTCTCGTTGTCGTTGTCGTTGCAGTATCAGCGACCTTTTGTTCTTCCGGCATATTTTTGCTTTATTCGTATACCTAAAATAAAATGTATTACTCTATAATATTAAAACGAAAATTAAAAAACACTTATGTTATCTCAAATAATTTAGATTTGTGATTAGAGAATCTTTGATTACGAAAGTAACAGATTTGGCTTTTCGTTTTTATATTACGAAAGAACAATCATTGCTTTGGGGGAATTCAAAAAATATCAAAATATATATATATATATATATATATATATATATATATATATATCTCAGATTATAAAATTCTGACATTTCGAAAGAAAACGCTGCACGTGTACTGTACTGATTCCTTTTTATAATTGTGATGTTGACAGAAGAGAAAGACGAGGAGAAAGACAGAAGAGGAGAAGGTCGCGTGTCGCAATGTGGTACGTCTCGTTATAGATCCCGTCTAGACGACTTGAGGGTGCCACGCGGTAAAATAATCAATATTTCGCGAGAACTCGCAAGTCCAAGTGTCTCGCGGTACACACGCTGGTCGCGATTTTGTTATTAATGAACAACAAGGGTACATAGTCGTTGTTCGAGGGTTCGTCGAACCTCGAGTGTGTATCCTTGAGGATAGGTATCCTTGAACTTCACAAGAGCAACGAATAGAGTAGGTATGCATGGTATCGATTGCGCAAAGGCGTCATTCGTTTCTAAATAAGAACAACATGTAGTTCTATACATAGCTCGTTTAAATATTAATAGAAAAAGTAATAAGCATTTGGGAAATTTTGCAGATGAGACATTGTGTGCGTTTTTATTGCATCGTTGTACTGACTGTACATTGACTTTTCACAGTACAGATTGGTATGCGTAAATATGCACCGAATCATCATTATTTCCATTTTCCAAAAATCATTTTTGATACTGTCGAAGAAATTTTTCAATCAGGACAAAATGTAGACATTTCAATCTCAAAGTCTTTTGAGTTTGATTTGAAAAGTGGCGCATTATTCGAATCGAATCGGTTCATCAAATGAACCTCTTGCCTCTTTCTCACGAGAGAGAGAGAGAGAGAGAGAGAGAGAGAGAGAGAGAGATAAGAGACATATTATTGTATTTCTATGTTTCGTATAAGACAGGTAGCGTAATTACTCGCAATCGTAGAAAGGTTTAAGGCAAATATTCGGCATAAAAAAGAGTACTTAGAACAACGCTAGGAACACCGACCCTGACCGACACGCTCTGTAGAATGCAGAATTTGCATCGAGCTGCCTGCAACTCGAGTCGAGCGTAATCGTGGCCCCGTTCAACAGCATTGGACAAACAGTAATTCAAGCACAATTGCGCGGAATCAGTGCCGCACAAAACTATCGTCGTTAACATGCCTGAGCTCCCGGAGGGCTTCTTAAGAGCATCGCGAACTGAGACTAATAAAAGTTGGATCAACTTGAGTGCTCATGCTCGCGAGTGTAAGAAGAAGATTTATACAATTTCTCGCTTTCAAAATTCTAATTTAATATAATTAGCAGTGAGGAAATGGGAGACTCGACGATGCAGCTTTAATGAAATTTACGCACTCTTGAGAAGAAGATTAAAAAAAGGTTGAAATTATCGATTGCAACAAGTCTCTCGTTCTGATTAGATAACGTAACAGCTCTACACTATTTTTACTATATATTCTCTAGTGATTCGACGATCGAGTAGGCGCGATTAATGAACATTCGCGAATCAACGATAAAAAGTACTCGAATAAAAATAGTATCTGGTATGATAAAAGAAAAAGAAAGGTAATGTCTTCATTAGCAATTTCAAGCAGACTTATGACTCGCTTCGGTGGATACACGCGCCGATAAATCCGCCGATAAATCGCATATACACTATATTTATAAGATGTTTTAAGTAGTCCGAGAATCGCAATTAATTTGGTGTGGTTTTTTTTTTATCATAATTATAGTATTTCATTTTTTCATATTCTCCCGATTAAATAGAATCCCATTAAAAAAATATTTTAATTCTATTGGATCTTAAAGAAGACTTTCGACCAGGTAATCGGTCGAATATGAATAGTGTGCGAATTCGACGAGAGAGAAATGCCGTCATCGCTGGAAGCGGGTGGCCTTTACACATGCTCTTTACTGGACTGATGAGGCAATACTGACGATTACTTAGTCGCGATGATGACGCGATAGTAACAACGACGAGGATCGCATGTACATACATTATTTTGCTCTACAAGAACCGGTATTTCGTCATCGTACGAATATATTTCGTACTTTTTTCGGCTTTTTCGGCTGGTAATTTACTAACAAATTTATCGCATTTTTAGCATTTTAAAACTTCCATTTTCCAAATTTTTTTGACAATTTGAAATTGTTATAATTGAATCTTTTTGGCAAAAATTTGATTCGCCGAAGATTACATGTTCTCAATTTTCGATATTATATATTCTGACGAATTTTAATGGAAATTGTATTGTTCGAAATAATTATATATATTTTACAAAAAGAAATTGCAGCTCTTCATTTTCCTAATAAATGTTTTCAAAGTAAAAAAATTTTTCGGGAAACAATTTTTTATTTTATGAGAATAAAAGAATGTAAAAGTTTGCATTATACTGTCAATTAGAGACTTTACTGCTCGTGTCTGACAAGGCATGAATTCTTTCATTAAGACGGTGTGTCGTTGAGAGACACGCACGGAAGCTGACGAGGAGAGAAACGCATTGTGCGTGTGCGCGTAGGCGTGTGCCAGAGATCACGAGACCGACCCCTCTCGTTCATAATCAGCCTTTTGACACACACGTCCGAGCTTGAAACCCACGCGGTGCGCAGTGGGGCAGGAAATGAAAAAAGTCACTGAAAGTCTACTTCCAATTCTACAAAAACTTAATTTTTATTTTTTAATTTTTATTATCTCGACATATTGCATTTTTTTTACTTGCATCAAATATAAATTACAAATTAATTAGTATTATTATTATTATTAAATATAAATAAGAAATTAATAATTATTAATTTGCCATTTATATCACAGGTGCCACTTGTACATTTAAGTTTGCATTATATATTTTGAAATCGACGTTGTAATAACTTCAATTACATATTCGATATGCATATTGATAATCTGCATCATCGTAATATACATACAAAAATAATGTAAAAAATTTATGCATTGAAATGATAGTACGGAAATAATTAAAATCATAATGTGACAACACAGTTACCGAGCGTACAAGTTGATATACAAGACTTAAAGTGTGAAAGAACATCTTTTTATAAGCTTTCTCGAATTCTATCTCACTATACGAGACCGTTCACAAAAGAGAAGCTTGAAACTGGAAAGAAGATTTAAAGGGCCAGCCCTTACCGGTGGCGGCGGACCGGCGCCTTTCATAGGGCCCTTTAAAGTTTAAAGGGCGAAATGAGAGAACCCGACCACCGTTCTTCTCTTACCGTTATCTCAAAAGCGACGATTCAGCTTTACCCTACCTACCAGCTCTCCTCAATACCCCCTCTTCGTAAGACTCTTTCAAAGTCATCATCCGGCAACATTCGGATCGTCTTTCTCGAACCGACAGAAGCGAATTTTTCAATCATTTCGATCTTTCACGATTGTTTCTTTCGATCCACTTATATTTTTAATGCTAGATGTAAACGCAATTATATTCCCACTATCAACGATACAAACAAACAGGAAATTATCGCCGTCGCGACACAAGGGCGACGCGGAAGGGTTCGACGAGAGGGTGAAATTACTGGAGGGTGGCCGGTAATAACGACTTCTACGAAACATGCCTTACAACAGCCAGTTGTCGCGCGACTCCGCCACTGATAACAATGGGAAGATAAGGATGTTCATGTCTACTGCCGGACGCGCCTCTAACGCGTTTTCTTTTTTATCAAAGAAACGAAGAAGGAACTGTAAGGGCACATCACGATCGATAGACGGCACGAAGCAGATAGACGGCAGAATCGAGAGAAGGTTGAGAAATGGAACGAAGAATAATAAAGATTACTATGCTGATTGATCGCGGGGAAAAACAAAAATAAAATAAAATAAAATGAAAAAAGAATCTGAGAGTCCAAAAATAACGTCCAAGAATCAAAAAATAGATCAAAAGAATCGTAATGTCTGTCGCGCATGTTATATAAAGCTAAATATATATGTATTGTACGCCCTTTTCCTCAATTATGAATTTAAAAAAGCAACCCTTATCGTGCTGTAGACTCGCAAGGAGAATTATGTATATGTTTTCTTGTCTGCCAACCGACCAATCCTTTCATTTCTCATGAAACGAACTTGTCTCTCAGCAATACGATTTTCAAAAGTCTATGGCACATTCTGTGAAAGAAGAAACACTAATACAAATAAACAAATAATAATAAAGAAATATACAAATGTTTTTGTAAAGTACAAGATTAAAATATAAAAAAGATCCTAGACAATTCCTTCCGACGCATTTCTTCAATATTCTTTTGCCTTCTCCCGATTTTTGAACGTTTTATATTTATTTTCTAAAGCAAGTAATTGCGTTAAATAATCGCAATCTTCAATCTTCAAAATACTTTAGCATAATTCATGGACAGAGGAGGCTCAAATCCCCAAAATAAAAAAAAATGTTAAAGTTAATTATAATCAATTATAATCTACAACTTAATATATTTTTCATTTAAAAAGAGGAACGGGGAGATATTTTAAGTTCTAAGATATCCAAAAAAGCAATTTATTAACGCAAAGAATTGCTGTTTATCTGTTAACAGAATTGATAACTCCCTCGCTCCCTCCCCCCCCCCCCCAAAAAATTAGAAATATTACGTCCGTAATATTTCTAATATTATTCAATTATATAATTATCAATGTAATTTTTTAATAAGAGAAGAAAAAATAAGCTTGATATTTTTCGTAATGCAAAACTCGTCAATCGTCTTATCACATTATTGATGAACGTCCAGTCCAGTGTAATGTTTGCGTGTCGCAAATATCTTGATAAAACAACGATACGAGTTATTCACAAAATGTAGGGATATAAATGTCTGCGACATTAACCCAGTTTTTCTTAAGTACAGATTGTGCAGC